AGCCTAGAGCCTGCTTCAGATTCTGTGTCTCCCTATTTCTCCCCTCCCCTACTTGTGCTCTGTCTCACTCTCTCTCTCTCTCTCTCTCAAAAATAAACATTAAAAAATTAAAAAGAAAATTGTAACACATAAAAAAGTGGAAAGCATTGCCAAACTGTTTAGTAAATGCTTAAATGTATAGCTATGAAATAAGAATTAATTTATTTATTTTTAGAGAGAGACAGAGGCAGAGAAAGAGAGGGAGAGAAGGAGGATCCCAGGCAGGCCCCACACTGCCAGGACACTGCCTGATGTGGAGCTCAGACCCACAAACTGTGAGATCATGACCTGAGCCGAAATCAAGAGTTGGATGCTTAACCGACTGAGCCACCCAGGCATCACAGAGAATATATATTTTTTTAAATAATAACAACTGATTTCCTTTTCTTGGACTACTTACTTTTCTACCATTTGAGACCTAGATGGTTTCTTTGTGGTATGTATTTATTCATGTCATGAAATAGTGGCCTTCTCCTTCCCAAGCTTCTAAGTCCTAAATGAATGCCAGATCAGCAGATCCCTGAGTGACAGGCAGTGGAAAATAAAGAATGTGTAAGACAGTTGTTCTATTGATTGACATTGAGCAAAATATTGGTGATGCTCACACATTAATTAGTGCTTTTCATATTGCTATTTTATCATGAGAATTTTAAAAAATATGAGTTACTCTGATTACCTAAACTGCTTTCAGATTTTAAACATTAAAATACTACAAAGGTGGTGTTTTGTTTGTTTTGTTTTTGACATAAACCTATATTTCAAATATTTTCTTAGAGAATAGTGCCTTATATGATTCAAACACAGATTTGTCATATATTAAATGCTGTGAAATAATTGAGTCTACTAAGGGTGTGTGTGTTTCTTCACATACATGCTTTTGTATAAATGCCATTTGAAAAGCAGGAATGTAAATCCATATGACTAATTTTGCTAACAAAAAGACATTCACAAAGCCCTCTTTTTTTTTTTTTACACTATCATAGCTTGTCTTTGTAGTGATTTTCAGTGGGGTTTTACATATTTAACACTTCACATGGCTGCAGCATCATGTGAAAAGTTTCTTAACATTCCCGGGAATGGCTTGTTTGTACATACTGATTTTAGAGTGTAATAAGAATATGTGGTCAAAGGATTCATTCATGGAGAACCCCAGTGGATTAGACCTCCAGTGCATAAATATAAAATTTTCCTTCAATTATGTTAATGGTACCATATTAAATTACTAGAGCTGTGGAAGCAACTAATACCATCCTTGTATCTATTATATGAGAGGTGTTAAAAAATATAGTTAAGGATCATGTTTATATGCTTAACGTATAAATATGTTGTAGTCAAACATGAGACAATAGCTGTTAATTTTTTTACTTAAAATATTTTTTAATGTTTATTTCTTTTGGGGGGGGAATTAAACTAGGGGAAAGAAGTGTGGAACTTTTGACTCCCTTCAGTCATTTCTCCTCAAAACTGACTATTGTTGGAGTGGATTTTTTTTCAATCACATAGAGTTTCAGATGAAAAAATATTGAAACTTTTATCACTGTCAATAAGCCTTAATACTTTCATAAGATTATGATGTTTTCTCTGTGAATATTAGTGGATTAGGGCGCATTTGACCATATTATTGCAGTCTTTTCTCATCCTTTATTGTGGGTTTTAAAAGTACCTTTAATATCAGGGATACTGAAAATCAGTTTTTAATTTATATTTATATTAAAAGTAAACAATGAAAAAATCTGAGTTGAAAGCACATGAGAACATTTGATTATTTTACATTTATCATATTTAATATTTTAGAATAATTTACTTTAACAATTTTTATATAACTATAAAAATACTCTCACTCGTGTAAACTGTTCATTGTTCAATAGGCTTTATCCGAAAGTATAGCTAATTTCATTTTTATTTATAGTAACTCAAGTCATTAAAAAAAGAGAAGACAGGAGGCGCATGGATGTCTCAGTTGTTTAAGCCTTTAACTTCTGCTCAGGTCACCATCTCGCAGTTCATGGGTTCCAGCCCCGAGCTGGCTCTGTGCTGATAGCTCAGAGCCTGAAGCCTGCTTCAGGTTCTTTGTCTCCTTCTCTCTCTGTCCCTCTCCCACCTGCACTCTGTCTCTCTTTCTCTCTCTCTCATAAATAAACATTAACTTTTTAAAAATATTTTTTATTTATTTCTGAGAGAGAGACAGCATGAACAGGGGAGGGTCAGAGAGAGAGGGAGACACAGAATCTGAAACAGGCCCCAGGCTCTGAGCTAGCCATCAGCACAGAGCCCAACGCGGGGCTTGAACCCACGAAGTGAGATCATGACCTGAGCCGAAGTCAGACTCCCAACCAACTGAGCCACCCAGGTGCCCCTAAACATTAGTTTTTTTAAAAAATAACATAGAACCATTAAACTTGTGTTTCTGAAATGTAGTTGGTCTTCAAACAGTCAATATTATAATGTATCTTATACAAAAATAATATTTCAGAGATTATCTACCTTTCTCCCTAATTCTTAAAATTTTTAACTTTTAAAGAACATTTAAATAATGCAATATAATTTACTAATAAATACTAATAAAATATGTAATTATTTTGAAAAGTTAATGTTGTCAAGCCTTGTTGTTTGATCCAGAACAAAGATGATAATGACTGCAAATATATTATTGGTATAGCATTTTTTATTTATATACCTCTTCACATATATTATCTCATTAGTTAGAAGGCTTACCTGACTTATTTTTATAGCAAATGGTTGCTTATTTTAATTTTCTTATATATGCATAAATAGATAGTATTTTTATGACTTAAATAATATGTAGTATGAATATTGGTTGGTGCACATGTCTAGATAGGTAAGTGGATAGGTGGATTAGAATAGGGTTCATATTATATTTTTAATTGAGTCTATTCAAACATAACCATGTGAAATCTCTGATTGAAGACCACTCTCTGTGCAATAAACACTTCCATAATTATAAATTTTAACCTTAATGCCCTATTCATAAATGAGTAGTAATCTGTCTTCTGATATAAAACACTGATTAAATAATAAAATATGTGTAGTAGCCCTTGGGTATCTGAGATAGAACAGACATAACTTCTAAATGAATTTTATTATTTCAGCTGTAGAAATCAGAATGAAAGGTTAGTAATAGGGTGTAAAACAACAGTAGACCAAGAAAGCTATGATTTAATGACTGCAGATCAGAAATACTACATATACAGAATATTTACATCTCACTGAGTTTTATGATGTGTACTTTTTCATTACTAATTATTACTACAAATGCCATCCTGATGATAACTTTCTCTAACAAATTACAGAAATAACTGTAAGTTTATATAGCTGCTCCTTTTATAAACACCTGAGTTAGATTTAGGAGGTTTTTTCCAGGTGTGATATGAAAATTGTATGCCTTAACTGCAAAAAACATGTATTTTAACTTTGAGATATCTCCTTTCAAAAGATTTTCTTTGTAAAAGGGAGGTGCTATTTCTTTAAAGTCTGGGCACACTAAAATGGAAAGATGCCTCCTTACCACTTAGGTGTGAGGCCAAGCACATTTACATTACTGTTATTACACAGTTGTCTGAAAATCATCCTCAGACATTACATCTACACAAGAGAACTTAGGGACATGTTGCTCCTCCGGATTAACTGTTACGCTAAGTTGCATGATAAGTATGGAATATTGGCTTTTATTAATCTTCCACTGAAAGCACAGAATATATTTTTCACCTTACAACATTCACTAATGAATCAATTTTAACTTAGGTACTAAGTAAAATCCTCATTAAGGCCAACAAATGGTAGCCTCAAGGAAACACAAAGTATTTTCACAGTAAATCAGAATGAGTTCTTCCTTCGAAGCCCCCTTATCCTGCCAGTATGCAAGCAACAATTCAGAAGAAACGGTCATTTCATGAATGAAGCATATCTTCAAGAAGATATAACAGAAATTTCTAGCTGTGAGGCATTATATTTCTGAGATGAATAAACAAGAACAGAAAACAGGATAACTGTAGTATGTCTTATCCTATACACTTAGTGACAATATAATAGTTGGGAAAAATATTTTTCTATGGAAATATGTACCTATCAATAAGTTATTGAACCTAGACAATATCTGAGTAACATTTACCTTAGCAAAGCCACTCTGAACTTGAATGTCTTTTTTCAAAGAATCAATTTCATTATGTGTATACCTATCCATGATTAAATCTGGGTAGGCCAGATTTGTTTAGCCCAGTTACCACAAAGGATGCCTAGTGTATATTTCTATCTTAGTAGTGTTTTTTGATTATTCTCTTTTGGAGATTCAAGGTTATTTTAAGTTACAGGATATTGGCGTTTGTGACCAGCCATCTGTGAGGTTAGTGTAATTATTTGGCCAAATACAAGGAACATGAGAAACCAGTTCATAAAGATGGCTTTACTTATGGTGTTAGTAATACATTAATATAAATTAAATTTTAAGAGATTTTAATATTCAAATATTAAATTTTTATTGACTTAGGTTTGGCTAAAAGTGTTTCCACATCATATTTTTCCCTGCCTTTCAAATGGATGTCATGATAATCATTGAGTTTATTTTATAGCTTCCTAATAAAACTCTGTGGTTATATTAAAATTTTTTTTTAATAATAAGGGTTAGTGATTCCTACCAGTTACCTGTATTCATGTTGGCCCCATCCTAAGGACCAGTTAGTGTTGCTTATTAAATTTCTAACTCAAAATTGTATTGTGTCCACTGAAAAATCAAATTCATTAGTATGAGTAAACTGAATGGATTTTTATTTCTAGTGTTTTTTTAGTATACTACAGATATTTCCTTCCTAAGTCTAAAACTCTAAATTGAACAAATCCTTATTTAAATCTTTGTAACAGAAGAAAAATAAAATCAGCACTGGTATTAATCATGATTTAACTTCCCATAAGTTTATTATTTCTTCTTTTCTTTTTTTTGACTCCAGGTGCAATAACAGAACACAGTGTGCAGTGGTGGCAGGTCCTGACGTTTTTCCAGACCCATGTCCAGGCACCTATAAATACCTTGAAGTGCAGTATGAATGTGTCCCTTACAGTATGTATATTCCTGTACCTTTCTTGTGAAAAGACATTAAGCTTTGTTTTGCATGCATTGATGAAATATTCTCTATGGAAGCATAAAAATTATTACATACATTTTTTTAAAGACTGGCTAATTTGAATTTTTTAGGATCATAAATCCTCTCACCATTGAAAGAATTAGGTGTTGCTTGCATGACCCTGAGGTATTCATTCTGACTGTACATTTCTGTATATCCATACTTATTCTAAAACTTGTCTTAATGCAAGAATATAACATTTTTAGAAAAATGTTAAGAGAAAAAAAGGATACTGCATCCCTCTAGGTCCAAGCAAACAGGAAGTGAAAATGGATAATATACTTGCATATTATATTATATAAATATTATGTATATATATAATATAATACATTGCTATATATATTAATAATATATATTATTATACTTGTATAGTGGCATACAAATTGATCCATTTTGAACTGGATAGAAGCAGTTATATCTAATCTACAAGTGCTGTCAACATTTTGAGGATTAGAAATATATTCATCCAGAATGAATAACCTGAAAAGAAAACACAAAAATTATGTGAGCTAAAGTACTCTTCAGAATTCATCTTTTGCAGCATCAAGAAGTTTGTCTTTGCAACTTTGAGGTCAGATATGCTATATGCCAACAACAGAATTTTTTCCTTCAGGAGTAATGAAGGATCAAACAATCAAAACTGGGACATTTTTTCTGACTTTTCTACTCAAAGGAAGAATCACCATTTCATAAAAATATTTTTGATCTGGCCATTAATTATTTATGGGATTCCTTACTGAAGATCACTCAGGAAATCCTACATTCGCATATTAGATATGCAGTTCATCCCCAAAGTTGAAAACACCTGGGACCACAAGTAAATTCCAGGTTCCAACTTCCTCTGACATCTCAGAAGGAAAGTATCTGGGGATTGGCAAGTTTGTTGTGCTAAGAGATAGTTGTAAGCTTGCCTCATTTCTGCTCATTTAAGAAGCAACACATTACTCCTAATCTGTAAGTGTGCATAATCCAATAATAGAGAGCAATTTGGCCAGCAAGAAATGAATTGGAGTTTTAAAATAGTAATGAAAGCAATCGAGAAAATTTCATTTTTGCTTTATTTTTAGTGTGATTGATTAGAGAAAGTTTATCTAGGTACATTTTATAAGCTAATTTTCCTTGTTATGAAAACAGCGTTGAGTGCATAGGTTTTGCTCAAATCTCAATTGAAGTTATACTTTGTATATATTGTTATCTCTAGGGACCCTTCCATGAAAATATAAAGCTCTTCCTGACCAGTTATTGTTCATTAGAGAAATTTTAAAGAAGTAACATTTGTAGTCCTTTTTGGAACGTTGGTAATTATATTTGGATTATATAATAAGATCTTTGTGAATTATATAGGATAGCTGTTTCCAGAGGCATTTTATAGAAATATACCATAAGGAATACTTCATTTTTAAAGACAGTTTGAGGAAACTTTCAGTCATATTTGGAAACATGAAAGGTGAAGTAGAAAATGTCAAGCTAGATTTTTTCACAATTTTAAATATTAAAGAATTTCACAGCTGTCTCTTCAATTTTCTGTATTTCTGCAGAATTTCTTTGAGGATAGTTCCTCCAGAATCCTCTGCCAAACTTATTTTGAAGAAAAATCATTACTGAAATCATTTCAATATAAATAAGAATTTGTTCATATGCTTTTGCATAAAAAGAGTGTGGTTTACCACACATTTCCTTTCTCTCATAAATTTTCAGAGATAAACAACTTGATTTCTGAATATCCTTTCTATACAGGTCTGATAATCCTAAAAATTTACTGATTGTGTAATAAGTATGTATATTATATTAAGATACTTTTCTGCTTGTTTCATTAAATAAGAATTATAAACTTAGGTGCAGCCGCTTGCCAGTTTATATACTGGTTTGATTTATACGGTATAGCATGATTGTGTTTGTTTAAATTATCTTCAGTTAAAAGTGTAATGCATAAATGGGAATTCATTTAGTAACTTTAAAATGATTTTAAAGGAAAAATGCAAAAGAAAGTACACACCATGAAATAAAGTACACTGACTTATTTGAAAGGTAGGTTTATTTAGTAGAAAAACAACCAGAGATCAGGGAGCGTGGGTTCAGAATATGGTCTGGTTACTTAACAAAAAGCATTAGTCCTTAGTGCTGCTGCCTAGGGGCACATGGACCCCAATGTTCATAGCAGCACTCTCAACAATAGCCAAATCACGGAAAGAGCCTAAGTGTCCATCAACGGACGAATAGATCAAGATGATGTGGTTTATCTATACCATGGAATACTACATGGCAATGAGAAAAAATGAAATCTGGCCTTGTGTAGCAACATGGATGGACCTTGAGGGTGTTATGCTGAGCGAAATAAGTCAGGCAGAGAAGGACAAATATCATATGTTTGCACGTATAGGATTAGGAGGAACTTAACTGAGGACCATGGGGGAGTAGAAGGGGGGAAATAGTGGGGGAGAGGGAGAGAGGCAAACCATGAGAGACTCTTGAATGCTGAGAACAAACTGAGGACTGTTGCGGGTGGGGGAAGGGTAGGGGGGTGATGGACATGGAGGAGGGCACTTGTGGGGATGAGCACTGGGTGTTATATGGAAACCAACTTGACAATAAACTATTAAAAAAATTAAAAAATAAAGAGAAGTTAAACCTCCTGAAAAAAAAAAAAAAAGCATTAGGCCTTAAACTGAGAAGCTATTAAAATTTTCTGGATCTCACCTTGTAGATACTCCCTGATCTATAGTAGGTTGTGATTTAGATCAACACTAAACTCTTTTTTCTTATCTCTAACATACAATTAAACAGACTTTTTCAATGCTGTAAAAAAAAAGAAAACACTTACTTAAAATACGTACAATCTTTGGCACCTTTTTGGTACTCTCATTTGCCACATGGGTTAAATGTTTACATGCATTATTTCATTAAGTTCTCACAATATCCTCCTCCCTGTTGGGTATGAGTATTGCTATTCTGAAGAAGAAACTGAAGCTCAGTGAGATAAGCTAATGTTTCATGTAAAATAAAGTGTAGCTGGATAATGGCAGAGGCAGGAGTTGAGCCTGTTTCTAGTACCTGTTCTTAAGGACTCAGCTTTAGTTCTTCCCAGAGATTTTCCCATTTATAGTTTCATGAGTTATTTAATCTTGTTCAGTATTTTTAACCATTATAATTTTTGTCAGTACAGCAGTGGCACACAGTGAAAGCAAATGCTTCAAGAGCCTAGACCCTTTTTGTTAGTTTTTTTGCTACTTACTTTCAAGAGACTTTATGTCTTTCTTCAAGCCGCTGAATCACTGCAAACTTCCATTTCCCCAAACACCTAGCAAAGCATAATGGCAAAAACTAGTCTGTGCTATTAAAATGCCACCCACAATTTCTAATGAGGCTCTTATCGAAGTAGTACCTTAAGAAGTTATTTAATCACTTGTATTATAAGAGAAATCTTTGTACTTAATATGCTTATTGAAATGTCCCTAGTGTATGATTACAAGGTAAACTTCAGATGTAGGATTCATTATTAGTATTTTAAAATTTTCTACTTGAACAACTGAGTAAACAAATTATGGTAGGTTCTATTTGTCATATAATTCAGTAATATCCGTTTTCATTTTTAAGACAACAAATTTCAGTATATAGAAGTGATGCATTTGGTATTTATGAAAGTTTTCTTAATATTAACACATGGAAGAATATTATTATTGGTATTTTCGTTTTTATATATATCCTGTGTGTGTTCCCATGGTAATATTGATTTTTAATGACATACTTTCTCATGGAAAAATAAAGAAAAAATGAAATATAGAAAGAAATATAGAAAAATATGTGGGAAAGCATATAAATATTAATGATATATAATCATATTACAGGTAATATAGATAAAAATTTAGCAAAATCCTTTGTATCACACAAGAAAAGTAGGGGGAGTTAAAATATCTAAGATCAGCTTGAAATATATATATATATACTTAGCTTGCAATAATTTTTACACAGTTTTAGGAGTCACTAAATAGGTGCATAGTTAAACAATGATAGTTCTAGAAGAACCTTAACCTGAATCAAATGGTGTGACTTTTTCTCTTTTTTCTTTTTTATTTGAGGTGGTGATGGGAAAGAAAATGAGAAAAAAATAGGGATTATAAGCAATTTTGTGAGACCACTTTCTTGGAGTGTCTTGTCAACATTTCCAAATCACTAAAGTTATATTTAATTTCTTTCTAAATCTCAGCTTCTCCCTCCTGTCTGTATTTTCTTGTTTGGGTTCACAGATACCCTGTTTGTGACCAAATTTGGGACAGATGAAATCAATACTTTTCTCTGTTCCTGTCACACCTTAGTTCCAGTGTGACTTTTACAGCCTTTGCATTTTCTTTTGAGGTTTGATTTTCCTCCTTAGGGATTTTTTTTTTCCTCCCAGGAGATGACCCAGATACTCCAGAGGTTAAACCTCAGCGTTTACCAATGCCACTCATTTGCTCTCCACTTCCCTTCTTGCCTCACTTCCATCCCTTCTGGCCTGACTGAGGATTGAAATTCTGACATCTTCCATAGACTTTCCCTCATTTAGCGGGTTTACAGGGAAGATTTGTGTTAGGGAGAAAACAATAAAACAACTAACCACCTACGTAGAGTATTTTTCTGAACAAAGAATCTTTACTTTGTATCCTGCTGACAATTTGTCTTTCTTCCAAGGCGTACAATTTCACGCACATTACACTCAAAAAGTGCTTGTCTTCTCTCACAAGCCAGCTTTTCTCTTCAGTTCTTTGTCTCTTCCTTTTAGAAATACAAAGCACATATTACTTATTCTAGCAATCTTCTCTCATGGTGGATTTTCTTAGGAGGAAGCATACAATTTGGAGAGCTACTAGAAATGAGTGTTTGATTAAACCAGTCTTATGTTACAGCACTTACCGGCTCTCTCACTATACAGATTAGCTATCTGAAGAGTTATTTGTGA